TATCTATCTATCTATCTATCTATCTATCTATCTATCTATCTATCTACCTACCTATCTATATTTTTTTAAGGGAAGAAAAAAAGCCACATCTAGCTTGGCATTTTTTCTGAATTTCCTCTTCAGCTATAACCAAGTGTAATTTTGCTACCACTGGGGTGTTTCAGAAATACATCAAATTTGATCCTTTAAAAGTTATTGCATCGCCCCATTAAAGGCACCGCACCCATACAGAGCTAAATGTGAGGACGAGCAGCAGCTGGCACAGAGTAATGGGAGGAGAAGGAAGAGGCTGGATGCTTCATATGGGTGGAGGTTTATAGAGAAGTAAATTAGAGTAATTGGAGTGAGTAAATCAGTAAAGTGACCTCCTGCTAAAATTGATGAGCACCGGGAGATGCCAAATAGACTGAATAATGGGGAGTCCATAAAGTGTCCGAGCCAGTGCAAGAATAAACGGCAGTGAGAAAATCCTTAACATCTTAGTCACGCCCTTTAAGTAAAGCCGTTTATACTTTGTTGTCACAMAGTGAGAGGGTGGTGGATGTAAAAATGAAGGTTTAAGAAATGAAAGAATGAGTTAGTTGTAGTTATGCTGTGAGACAAATGGGGCGTGTTGTGGAATTCTTATTTTCTGTATCACCTTGACACTGACCACTTGTTCCTGTTCCTGAAGATATGAACACTTGTTCATATCTTGTGATATCCTTCCGGACGTCAGCATCAAGTTGACCTATTTCCGTGTATCAGGATGGGGCAGGTTATGATTGGTTGTTCATTCTCACACGATGTTAGATGACAGAATGCTGTATATGAGGCCTCTCGAGACACAGTGTTCAAGAGAGTTAGACAGTGAGCAGTGTGGAGAGACAGACAGAGAGGCACAGAGACAGGCCAGGTTCTCTGTGTTTCCTGTTGTTGCAATAAAACTCAGCTGATCATCTCACGGAGTACCTTCATTCTTGACCAGCGTATTTCTGTCTCTGTTGTTAAATAAATATTGCCATAACAGGGCGCAAGCACAGGAAGTGTACCTTGACCCACTGCCGTCCAGTGTCTTCAGATGAAAACAAACATCTAAATGTAAATCCTTGAAAATGTGTTTTAATATTTCTTAAGGCAAGTGAAAAAAACTACAAACTTTATGCATGTTTACAGCACAAGTCACATATAAAAGGCCTCAAGTTTTTTTTTTTTCTTGTGAGCTTAGCAAGACCAGTAGTTGTGATCAAAGCTTTAAATAAGAAAATAAAAAGACTAGGTGTTGTTTTTTAAATCCAAAACTGACATCTAATTTTATTGATGTAAATATCATTTAATTTCTGATATTTTTGTTTTGCAAACTTTCATTTGTTGTGTTTTGATAAAAATGCTAACTATGCGACAAACTTCTTAGYGTTAAAAAAGGCGGGAGAAGTACTGAATGTGTTTGAAAACATTTAAATACACAAAAGGTTATTTGTACTCTTGCACAAAACATAAGGAAATTTGTGTTGGTAGATTATTTCTTTGTTGTAACAATTCTTCTTGGTAGTAAATCTTATACTGTTAAAAAGCCTGTTAATWCCCCTTTTAAATGGTGACAGATTTGTAAGGAACATGCATTTATGGGATGAGCAGTAGACCTAAGTATATGAAAAAATTAGCCAAATCTTCTCTTTCAAACAGCTTATTTTGCCGTTKTATTGCTACTTGAGCTTGTGGTACCTCCAGGTGCTGCCAATCAGGTGTCTGATTTAAGATTTATTGCCAAGAAGCTTTTTTTTTTTTACAACGTAGAATCTACCAAGCACAAATTTACTTACTTTTTCTGTTAAGTAAAGTAACCCCTAAAATACCTTAARATGTCTTTGTAGTGTACTGAATGTAAGGTTTTAACTCTCACCATTCCACCGCCACACTTGGTTCCCGTCAGAACCAAGCCGGGATCGGGCATGTCATCGCCCAGGTAGACATGTGTACCTCGGCACAGTATCCTTCCGCCTTCCTGCAGGGGTATATTTGTTTCTATGGAAACAGCATTGGTGCCAATTACTGGGCGGTTTGCTCCTCCTTGACACTGGATTTTGCCACATTTAGCGTCTCTGTATGAACAGCGAATAAGGACAGGGAAAACAATTCAGCAACACGGTTCCATCGTCATTGTTTTCTCTTGTTAGAACTTCCCTTGCTGCTGCTGCTGTCGCCCAATTAAACAGACAAACTGTGCCGTCTCGGTGATGGAACTTGCTGCATTACACTAAATGACCGTGTGTTCCTCAATTAGAGGCTGCAAATAATAATCACTTCCACCGCTGAATGTGACAGCTATTTTTTCCCCTAACAGTCAGTCACATTAAAAAGTTTTCCTCCTGCGGGGAATGATTTATCTCAAGTAATGTAGCAGCTGAATGTATGCTTCGAGTTTTATCGGAGCATTAGTTCTTACCGTGCTTCACATTTGGCAAAGGAGCCTTTTGAATCCTTGCCACAGTTGCCATAAGGGTCTCCAGCGGAGTTGACCCTTTCAAAGCAGATTCCTGGAGCTGGCTTGGCTCCTGCAAAATACATTATAAAACACCTTCAGCTCACAACTATTTCTGAACCACTCATAGAGGAGACTCTCTACTCACCTTTACCCCACAGAGTGATGCACTGCTGCTCGTGGGTCTGGCATATGCCGTTGTAACAGTAGCCATCCACGTTGTGGCAGGAGTGACCGTCGTGGAGGTAGACGTTGGCGGGGCAGTGGGGGCTGACGCCGGTGCAGAACTCGGGCAGATCGCAGGAGTTGCTGGACTCGCGGCACGGGGTTCCCGCTGGCTTCAGCTGCACCGCAAAACGTTCAWTGAGATTCAAAGTTCGGCTCTAGAGGACCGTCAGACAAATATCGTTCTGCGTTCAAGCGCACTGTACCTGGCAGTCCTGACAGCAGTGCCCGTGTGCGCAGACGGCATCTCCTTTCAGAGTGCAGGTAGTAGCATTGCAGCAAGGATTCATGCATTCCTTTAAACACAAAAAAAACAACATTTTAAATAGACAAGAAATGGAAGGAAACGAAAGCTATAGGAACAAAAGCGACAGCTATGCAGAAAAAGATCATATTTCACGTCAGAGTAAGAGCTTAGACTTTCTTATCAGAAGGGAAGCAGCCCCGCAGGACTGTAGTCTGCAGGGCGGAGGAGGGTGTCTTTAAAATAACGTAGGAAGACTAGAACATTATGTAAATGAACAAAAAAGGCTTTTGCATTAAAAACATTAAATCGGTCTTATTTGCTTCAGTGTAATATTCTCCAAATGAGCAAACAAAGCTTTATCTTATTAAATAAATATTGGTAACACATTGTGCAATAAAGGTTCTTAATTCTACACTTGCTTCTTATTATCTTGAGTAAAGATATAAACAGAATACTTCACATTTTTAATTACATTTAACAACTTCTGATAAGTCATTTTTTCCAGGATAAAATAAATTAAATCAATTAAAAMCCCCATGAAGACATTACCGAATCAGTCTTTCTGCAGTGCAGAGAGATGAGCCGTGTCTGCAACACACCTCCATAATGTCCCGTTATTTTTTTTTTTTTTTTTATCACGCTGTGGAAGAACATCTGTTTCACGTTTGCTGTTATCATAATCCATGCACTGAACCAATCAGCAAGTCCCTGCCTTCTGATGCAGATGGGAGACAGAATTTAATCAAGTCTCTCTGGATAAGATTGGGTGTGTTGGTGTTTGTGAGTCAGCCGGTGCACGTACAGTTAAGATCAAAAATTATAAGCTGATGGTTGTCCTTTTTTTTTTGTTTTGAAGCAAAGCGAAAAACAATAAAGTGCAGATAAAAAGGCTTTGAGTTTTCCAGGAAACAGCGATCAAAAACATTTCAGTTACAGTGGTCATGAAATGGATAACAAAATGTGATATCAGCTGCTTGGAGTGGTCAGTCTAGAGYAAGTGTCAAACTCAAGGCCCGCAGGCCAAAACTGGTCCTTATTAAAATTTTATACGGTCCCAATGGTAATACTTTAAATGTGAAATAGTTCATGACTGTCAAGCCAAGAAAAATAATTTTTCCGTTATCTTTGCTTTTTGCTGCGGAAAGAGTAACAGAGAATTTAGTCTCTTTCTGTTTTCTCCTCTTAGTTTAATGGCAAAAAATAGACTTTTAGTAAAGTTTATCTTTTTTCAACTGATTTGCTGGACTGTGCTCAAATGTATCTCTAAGAAATAAACGAAAAGGTTTAGATAATTGAAAATAACAGTTATAAATTTGTATTCCAAGAAGAATTGTTTATTATATGACATTTTTTCAGAGAGAGATTTGTCCATGGATCAAGCAGTTTCTTGGTGTGTGGGCGAGGTCTGTTCTAAATGTGATTGGCGAATTGACTTCTCTTGAGGGCAATTTAAAATACAAATATAATAGTAAAGTTATTGTGAACATGTAAATATAATTTATGACTTCAAATTTGGTGCAATTAGCACCTTCCTGTTTTAAGTTATGACTAACATTTTTATTCATATTCATAAAAATAATCATTTTCCAGGAGGGATAGGGCGGTTTTGACCAAGCTGAATTGTTACACATCCCTCCAAATGTACGGCTTTTAAATTTTGTGCAGCTAGCACCTTCCTGTCTCATGTTATAACTAAAACTATTATATTACATTTAAAAATATAGGTGCTTCCTGGTCGTTTCTACTGAGCTACATATCCCCCCAGCTGCCCTGGCTTCTTCAAACCCCACCCAAAACAGTCACTTTGATCAATCACGTCTTTAAAAAAATATTCCCACAAAGGCCAAACAGACAAAATGTATTTTTGATCAACTTCTCCCACACACCAAGAAACTCCATCTTAGTGACTGAAGAAACCCCCTCCTGCCATGGCTTGGACCAAGTTTTGATTTTTGACCCCCTTGTGTAACTGAGTTTAACCTCCCCTGGTCTACAGTCTAAAGTCCAGATCTATAAAAGCAGGCTTTCAACCACAAATATTTGGAGATCATCATCATCTTTACGAAATATGCGAGAATTCTGGTGGAGACAAGCAAAAAGCTGGCTGACAAAAAATATAAATGAGGACTGTTTGGTCAGATTGACTTAAGGATTACCAAGAAAGAATCTAAGTCAGTTTGTTCTTTTCAGGAGAGACAGTGTCAGACTTAGTCCATTGCAGCATCTTATCCTTGTTCGCCACCTGTTTATGCCATTTCCAGTCAGGGGAAAACTTATTGGTCAGTAAAAAATCACTATAAATCAAAATTTGGCATCATTCTGCGCCTAATTGTATGATCTCACACAGAGGCAGGTTGACTGGACCGCTGAGGATCGGCTCTTTCCGTGTCCCCATTATAGTCTGAGTATACCGTACGTCTGAGTGCCATAAGAGTCCGGAGGAAGTAGATGGATGGAGCTGGCCGGGGACACGGCTGACATGATGGGCCTTCCAGAAACCCTTTTCAGGCTGGAAAACCATAAAGGGGCCTTTCCCATGGTCCCTGGGGGCCAAAAGAGGCAGAGGAGTCCTTCTGAAAAGAAGTAACTTGTGACTGTAAAGAATGGGATCCAGGCTTTTTAATGAGGGCTTTTTGTTTTAAATGGTGGAGAGGTCTGGTTTGGTCTGGTCCGGCCTGGTTCGGTGTTAGATGAGAGCCTGATTACTGCTGCTGGCCTGAGCTGGAGGTGCCTCTTTGTTTCCAGCTCAACCCTCGGTGAACTGAACTGCCCACAAAAAATAAGAGTCTAAACAAATCACAGAAGACAACGAGGCTTTCTCTCATTTAGGCTGTTACATAATTCAGACCATCTTTCCTCATCAGAGTAGCTGTCTCTTCCACGTTCCCGCCTCTGCTAATTGTCGGCTGCGCCGCGGTTTTGCATCCTGCACTCGTAAGAGTGAGCAACATGTGCAACCATTACATATGTGCATGTCGATGTGGATTCACTTAAATAATTCACCAGCTGACAGGGTGAAACTGTCAGCTGTGTTTCCTTTCAGAGACTTTTATTAAAGTCAGACAGGGACTWCTCCTGAACACCTCTTCGGCGCTCAGAATAAATAAAATCCCACTTGTATCGTCAACTCGAGTTTTGTAGAAAGTGTCTGAATAAAACAAAAAGCCTTGCTGGTAGATTTCAAAATGATAGTTCAGATCTTCTGAAGTGGGTTTCGTTGGAAATRTTATAAAAGGAGCAAAAATAAAACTGTGTGCATGAACTGCTATAAAGCCTTTGAGCATTTACAAAAATGTGAATGTTGGGCAATAAAGTTTTGACCTGTGCCCTTGTTTGTAGTGTTACCAAACTTTTTCAACAAATATTCACTGGATGGACATCTGCAACAGATTAGCTTTTATCCATTCATTATCTATACCCACTTCTTCCTTTCAGGAGCACTGGGGTCAGCTTTGCCCATATCCAGCCGTCACTGTGGAGGGGCACAGTGGACAAGTCCATCACAGGGACACAGACACAAATAACCACTCACTCTCTCACTCTAGGGACAATTTAGAGTTATAAATTAGCCTAACAGTCAYGTTTTTGATCTGTGGGAGGAAAATGTAGTGCCTGAATAAAACCCACACATCCAGAGAGAACATGCGATCTCCATCTAGAAAAGGTCCCGGGCTGGGATTTGATCCTGCAACCTTCTTGCTGAGAGGAAACAGCTCTACCAACTGAGCCACTGCCCTGATGAACTTTTATAATCAACCTAATTCAAGGTGACGTAACAGCTAATCAATTATTCATCTTCTGTCACTTATCTGTAGTCAGGTTGTTAAAAAATAGGCAGTGTTCGTTACCCTTTACCTATTCAGATCTAATACCAGTTAATAATGACATGTGAATGTTTGAGTGAGCAATACAAAACCATTCGGACACAGCTGTGGACTGTCTAGCTCTTATGCAACAGGCAACAGGTCTAGAAGAGAAACCYAGACATCCCTCTCGCCAGCGAGACTTTCCAGCTCGTTCTGGAGGACCCGAGGTGTTCCTAGGCCAGAGAGGATATATAATCCTTCCAACAACTGCTGAGTCTTCTCCAGGACCCCCTACCAATGGGGAGTGCCTGGAACACCTCTAAAGGGAGGCGTCCTAATCAGACACCCGAACCACCTCAACTGTCTCCTTTCGATGCAGAGGAGCAGCAGCTCTACTCCGAGCTCCCCGCGGATGATGGAGCTTCTCGCCCCATCTCTAAGGCTGAGCCCGGCCACCCTACGAAGGAAGCTCGTTTCCGCCGCTTGTATCCAGAATCTCGTTCTTTCGGTCACGATCCACGTCTCATGACCATAGGTGAAGGTTGGAACATAGACAGACCAGTAAATCCAGAGCTTTTCCTTTAGACTCAGCTCTTTCTTCATCACGACCAACCGAAGCAACGCCCTCATTACTGAGGACGAGGCCCAGATCTGTAGATCCATGTCCTGTTCCATCCTACCATCAGTCAGGAACAAGACACCCAGATACAAGTCCTCCAGCTGAGGCAGAGACTCCCTACTGACCCGCAGGGGACCTTCCACCCTGAGAGTCATCAACATCACATAGTTTGAGTGGTAACAAATCACACAAAATCGTGGGATAATACGTGATAAAGCACACAACCTGAATTTCAAGGTCTGACCAAATCGGCTACGATGCCGTCATTCCTCAACCTGATTTTAGTAAAACGCTGGCATCTTCAACAATAAGATATTTATTGTTCATACACTTTTTGCAGAACCCACAATGTCTTTAAAATGTTTGTTTTTAATTTTGGAGATGCTAATGTGTGTCAAAAGTTTTGCCCGGAGAGAGCTACAAACTGTTTGTATGATTTAGTAACAAGAACGTTTTTTAGCTAGATTTAAAGTAAGCAAAAGTTTATTGTGTTATTTAGCAGCCTCACCTCCAGTTCGCCACAGTCACACTCCTCTCCCTCCTCCACGTAGCCGTTGCCACATTTCTGCCCGCCGTAGAGCACCTTCAGCTCGGGCATGTTAAACAGACACATCCCCACACCTTTCTCAAAACTGGCCGTCAGGTCCTTCTTGCTGCAGCTGCTGAACACGGTGGGGAAGGGATACCTGTGAGCGAGAGAAACGATTCGTCAGTGACACACAGAGAGACGCACGATGATGGAGGTTTCCCCTCGAGGGTCCTCCTCAATCTGATGTAATCAGCGATAATTACCATTAATCACAAAATCAATTAACCACTACAGCTCAGCAGTCTCTCTGAAAGCACCATCAGCACGCAAACAATGCAGAGCTGCAGAGACTGCTCTCCTCATGATGCACGCTTTGATTAAACATGTTATAAAACAGAGAATTATAAGAATTCAACTCAAWAATGCTTGGCAAGATTTGGAACGCATAAATTTGGGAGAACTGAGGTACTTTATTACAACTCTCAGATCTGTACGGAAAGCACAAAACCTGAGACTCTGCTTGCCAAAAGCTTTTGTTRAGAACCTCATGTGGCTTTATTGAGCTTTTCTGTGATAACAGAGCACCTCGGATGAAAGAGGGATGTGTAAAATGTGCATGAATGTGTGTCGATTGCTATCACGTCCTCGGTGAGTGCGACACAATACAAAAGCACCATATGAGATTTTTAATAACTCCACAAATGTTAAGAAAAATCAGCATGGGGCTGAGTTTTATAGGTGAATCTGAATGTAATGCTCCCATTTATAGCTGCGCTTGTCTCGGAGCACACAGGTAAGTGACAGGAAGTGAGAAATTCAGGTCAGCTCTTTCAACAAAGCCATATAAAGGGCTCTTGAATTTTTGAAATGTGCATTGTGAAGTATGCCATCAATCATACCTCTCCTACTTCTGCCACCCACCTTCCTATCGGTGCTTGAAATGGTTGACTTCCTCTGCTTTGAATGGGCCTGAGACTATTTTTTTTACCACAGAAGTGGGATTTCTAACTTTTTTTCAGTAAGTGTAACACAAAATGAGCAGGTGGGGCTGCAAAATACTCAACATCTGGATGTCAAACAAAAGCTGTAAGGTAAAATATTTATATTCACTGTGTGCATAATATAGGACAAGTGCTTATAAAAGTGGTGTATTATGTATATTCTAGGCATATAGTTCTATTCTACACCACAATCAAGTAATGTTACCTTCAGTTGTTATGAAAATGCTGTATATATCAAAATAAATTTAACTTTGCATCATAGCCTATCTAAAGGCCTTGAAATTGGCCTCCGTCTCTTCCTCCTACCTCCTACCGTTTCTGACACTCCCACTTCAACACATCTTCACAACAATGATTCATGCCATTTACAAACTTTTGCAGAAATGTTGTGTTTTGTTTTTGTTTTTTAAAAAGAAGCAACATTATATAATACAGGTTTTGGAAAATGGCAACTCAGAATACTGTTGAACCTTACTCGAATGATCCAAGGTCAGACCCTGAAAATACATTTTCTGAAGAACCAGAGCRAGTAGAGGCTCCAACAAGACATTTCAGTTAATAAATTTATCTCCCAGTCATCCTTTCATACATACAAGCCAATGTTAAGTGATATTTTTGTGAAGAAACCATAAATATAGACTATCATGAAGATGTGTTTTGCAATGAAATCATGAACACCCACCATTTTTAAAGATACATTTTGCAAAGAAATGATAGTGATTTGTAAAGAAATATTTCTCTTGCTGCTATTCTGGTGGAGCTGTATGGGGGAGGTGTGGAGGAGAGGTGCTCTGTGGGGCGGGAGCTTGGCTGCTTTGCTGAACAAAATATACTAAGTAGCAGTCAATACGAGTTTAGAGGTGTTAATGTTGATTTAAAGAAAGCATTCGACACTATTGACCACAGTATTCTTCTTGAAAAGCTGAATAAATATGGTATTAGAGGACCAGCATTACAGTGGGTATCTAGTTGTTTGAAAGATAGGAAACAGTTTGTTCAAATAAATGATGTAAGATCTGATCTCTGTAATATCCAGTCCAATCCAACTTTATTTGTAAAGCCCTTTTGGCACCACAGCAAACCAAAGTGCTGTACACAATCAACATTCCAACACAGCTCATGCATAAAACATATTCAATCAAAAATATGAACAATATCACATGTGGAGTTCCTCAGGGTTCTATACTTGGACAAAAGTTATTTGTTTTATACGTGAATGACTTGGTAAATGTGTCAGGGCTTTTTAAATGTGTTCTATTTGCAGATGATGCTACTTTTTTTGTTTGGATAAAGATATAGAACAAATGTTGGAGACAATACAAGTTAAAATACAAAATTGGTTTCAACTTAATAAATTATTATTAATAATTATATGATATTCAGTAATAGAAAGAAAACTGTTGATGTTCCATTTAGAGTTGATGGTGTTGAGATCTGTAGAGTCAGTGAAATGAATTTTTTAGGTGTCATCATTAATGAAAAGCTGACATGGAAACCTCACATTAATTATTTAAAGAACAAAAGTAGCTAAATCTATTCCAGTACTGTATAAAGTAAAGAACTTATTCAACAATAAAGCTCTACATATGTTGTACAATGCAATAATTGTTCCACACTTGATATATTATATTGAAGTCTGGGGTAAAGCATGTAGAACAATTACAAATCCTATTTTCGTTTTACAGAAAACAGCCATAAGAATTATCACTAGAAAGATTACAACCATCTATCAAATGTATTATTTTATCAATTGAAAATTTTGAAATTCTATGATTTGTTTGACTATAATATTTTACTGTTTATGTATAAGGCTTACAAAAACATATTACCTTCTAACATCCAAGTAAATTTTGTTAAAAGGAAGAGTAGTGATTTTCTTAAAAGGATAGAGATGTGTGTGAAGCCTTGGTTTCATACCCGTTTGGTCTACTTTAATCCAGGGAATAGGATTGTGTAATGGTTTAGAGATTAATGTCGAAAATGCCAGATCAATGTTCATATTTAAGAGAATTATAAAAGTTAGTTTTTTTTGAAGGAATATGTAAAAACATACAAATTGTTGTTTGAGTTGAAGTTGTTTTTTTGTAATTTTTTTTTGTAAATTACTATTGTTTGACTATACAGTATTCTTGGGATTAAAAGGGCAGATATTCTTTCTTCTTTCTGCTGCCTTTCATTTTATAGGATATTTTTTTATTTTCTATTGTATATACTGTAGATTTTGTTTTTAATGAAATGAATAAATAAAAGTTAGTCAAAGCAATACTCTGTATGGTTTTGATGAGGGAATGACATTATAACATGATATAAAGCTCAAAAAAGTTGATTTTACATAATGCCCACCCTTTAAAGAAGTGACAAACAGCTGTAGTTAGTGTTAAACTCGAGAAACACGAGTTTAAATATATTACAGCTACTTAAATTCAGCCACCACTTTYGGAGCTGTTAAAAATATCTCTCGATTGTTTTCGACRTGTCTCGTTGTTGCTCATGCCAACCCTTTCCGTCTATGTTTCTCMTCTGGTTTTCACATCAAATACGGGTTTTTCGCTGCGTCACGACACTCTGAATGTTCTGACATGACCCCATTCTCAGCAAGTCTTTGATGTGTGGCGGCAGCTTACATCAAATCATGTTGCTGACCCCCTTCACTCCCTCACACTCCGATCCCAAACCATGCCTATAGGTCTTAAAGAGTGAAAGTCGGAGCAGATCTTGTTTCCTGTGGGTGGCCCCCTGGCCGGGGTGGCTGCCGGATTCCGGGGGGTGGACAGTTGGGGGGGGCACTTGGTCATTGGCGGTGTGGTGGGGTGGTCATGGGTGTGGCATCTCTGCAGTGGGGGGCTGGCCGGGTGTCCTGGTGCGGCCCAGGCCGGGCCTTGGCTACCTGCTCCTCTCCACCTCAGAATGATTGGGTCTACCTCCTGGGTTTGGGTGTGTGGTGCCTGTGTGTGGTGCCTCCAATAGGGGGTGGATGCATGTCCTGGACCTGGGGGGTATAGAGTGTGTATCGGGTGTATGAGTGAAATGTGGCATTCTTGTACGTCTTTGATTGAGTGGGGGTGAGAATGAGGGTGGGATGGTGCGATTGTGTATGTTTGGGTATTTGTCAGGCTGCGGTCTGG